ATGTTATATTATTGTTTGGTGTTATTGGTTGAACTGTTTTGGCTTAATGTTGGGTTGACTTTATTTAGATTTGGGTTGGTTTACATAGAATTTAGGTTGGGTTTATATGTTGACTTATCTACATAGCTTTGTATTTGCGTGGAGTATCTAAATTAACTTAAACCTACTTGTCAATTTTGAATTACAATACTTGTTATAGTTGTGGAATTGGTTAGGTGTTTAAGCAGTCATTAAATACGTTGTTTAATTCTTGAAAAAATCTTTAGGAAGAATGTGCGAAGACATCCAATTATCATCCAATTGATACCTACAACTTGCAACCATGTGTAGAAGAAAATTTTCATAAAACTCATAAAATCTTAATCGAATTTGGTTTTCCATTATCAATGCAAAAACCTTGAAGCAAAATGTTTGTCAAAATTATCTTTTAATTTAACTTCCTCTGATTGTCGAGTGTGGTTCTGGACATATCAAAAGAATTAAAATATACATATTCTGGTAGAGTAATTCTCTATACAACAGCTACAATAAATACGATATTATTCTAAATGCCATTTACGCATAATACGAGATATTAGAGGTAATTACTCGATGAATTTGTTACTGCTCAATAAATGCAGATAATTAATTTTATTTCAATTTTTTTTATTAAATATTTTTATAATAATTTTTCGAGTAGACGTTTCTTCTGGTATCTAGTAATGATCCAAAACTACTCATTAATCATCGATCATCACTCCGATCCATATCTTATCGGTCTTTTTACGTCGCATCAAAGGGATGATACGCGGGTTTTTTCAATCTAGACGTGATCGAGAATCGTCGGCGCGTTTTGAAGATGTTATTATTGATTGGAACGCATTGAAGATCGCGACTTTATACGCGGCGGTGATACGAGTCGATGATGCGCATAAACCTATTTATAAATCTCCCGGCAAACAAACTTATAGCCTTGTTTTTCTAATTTGCATGTCGATATCTTCGTTGTTTTTAGAGATTGCGGAATATTAAATACACCAATACACAAATCTTTCCTTCATCTAAAATCGCTTTGTCCTGTCGCTATCTTGATATCCATGGCGAAAAAAAATGGAGGGCGTCGCACAGTGGGGCGAAACGCTGTTTTGCTGGCCAAAACCTATTTTATCAAGCATTTTCAAATGAAGGGGGAAGTGTTAATTATCTAAACCGTAAAAAATTAGAAGTATGCAAAAAACGCTGTTAAAGTCGAGAGAGTTACGCGCTGTCGGACAATCCGAAAATTTAGCAGAACTTCAAAACTTTTTATTTTAGAAACCATTTCGGAAATACTTCTAATTTTTTGTATATACTAACTTTGTCATTATCTTCGCTAGTTTTCTTGTTATATTTTCTTTTGTGTAAGACTGCTAGTTAATGAATAATTTATGTTTGAGTAGACATATCGTTGTGAGCTAAAACTATCTACGTCTAGAGTTTGGTATCAAAAGATTCCCCATTTAATGTAGAATCTGCTCATAATAAAATCTCTTCGTCTCTTTCCATATATTGATATTCGACTACACCGCAAAGAAAAACATTTTCTTTAGGTTTATGTATAAATACGAGTGTAAATATCGCGACAATTAGTAGTAATACTTCAATTCAGTTGCTAAATACTGCAAAATGTCTCAGTTTGTTATAAAAATCAAAGAATTATGCCTAGAGTTTATTGAACATGGCAATCACATTTCTTCTGCTCGTAATTATATCGCAGGACGTTTTAATTTATCTGAAGAAGATCTCAATTGTGTTGTTCAAAATATTCAACAACGTCTGCTGGCGTCTTTCAAAATTAAATGGTCTGCATCTCATAGAATGAAAGAACGTTTTTTAGAGCAAAATTCTGAATGGTTAGATAAAGATTTCGTTGTGAATCTATAAGAGGAAAATCTACTATCTACGTCTGGAGTAATCTCAGAAAAAGGCCGTCCGTGTAAAAAATTTGATGATTCCAGTGAAAGGACAAAGAGAAGAAATTCAACTCGCTTGCTGCAGACTGAAGGTTTGGACCAATTACGTCATGCATTTTGGCAAGGACTACGAACAGAAGGCCAAATTAGGAACGCAAATATTATTGAAAGTATAAAAAATATATCAACGGACCAGCAAGATTTGCATTATCGAGTATTATTCCAAAATGAAGGTATCGAAAGTCCATTGAGTAAAGAAAATTCGTTGGCTCTAATGGCAGATATAGGACTATCTAGATATCAGTATAATATATTACGATCATACGCTGCAACACAACGATGTAAATTATTATCTAGTTATTACCAAGTTCAGAGCGCAAAGAAAGATTGTTACCCAAATCCTCCATAGATAACTGTCACACCAGTAAGCGCCAGTATAACATTACAAAGCTTACTTGATCACACCACCAAGAGACTTTTAAAACACAATCAGAGGAAGTGTTAAAATATCTTACGGTAACTGATCTCATATTAATGTGTAAGTGGGGATGTGATGGGTCTTCTGGACAAAGCCAATATAAACAGATTCTACCAGGTGAAACAGATTAAATAACCGATTCTCATTTGTTTATTTCATCATTAGTCCCTTTGCGTATAACCGACAAAACATCCACAACAATATTATGGGAAAACCCAACTCCTTCTTCAACTCGATTCTGTAGACCTATATCTATAGAGTTTGCAAAAGAAACTGCGGAGAGAACCAGATGTCTAGCTTCAAATATAGAGTCCTAAATTGATAAGTTAGCGCCAGCACTTATAATGGTAGGTGTTAAGCAATTTAGTACAAACTACCAATTATTTTTTACAATGATCGATGGAAAAGTATGCATCACATTAACAGACACTCCTTCTACATCTACTTGTATTCTTTGCCTTGCCAAACCAACGGAAATGAATAATCTGGAGAAGGTAACAAGACTATCTCGGGAAGATACATACATATAAATTTGGTCTCTCTTCATATCTCGTACAATCTTTTATTTAAAAAATGATCTGCCATTGATCCTTTAAACAAGATTGAAAAAGAGACTAAGAAAAAACAAGTACAAGACCGATTTAAAGATGAAGTAGGTATAATTATTGATAATCCTCGACAAGGTACTGGAAACTCCAACGATGGTAACACTGCTAGAAGATTCTTTTCTAATCCTTCTTGCACAGCAGATATTACAGGAGTAGATGAGGATTTAATGAAAAGGTTTTTCCATAATTCTTCAAACATTAGCCAGCGGAAGAACCATAGATGTCAAAAAGTTTGGGGAATACGCATATAAAACAGCAGAACTGTATGTAGATCTATATAAATACAGCCTGCTTCAGTACACAAAATACTTATTCACGGTGAAAGCAACATACAAAATATGCTGTATTACCAATAGGACAACTTTCAAAAGATGCACAAGAAGCTAGAAATAAATTGCCACCAATCAAAATGTTTTCAATACGTTACTATACACCTCTGATCCTTATATATCATCAATTAGACATGTTGTAAAAAAAAGCAAGTTAGACTTAGATCCAGATGCCTAAGCAAGCATTATTTTTTTCTAAAGGATAAATCTATATTTAAATATCATCTGTGTCTTATTTTAGAAGAAAAATTGTGACTAACTTATGATTTCTCTGCAAAGTACACATAAAATTCTAGGATAATGATTATACCGTTTATATTATTTATTGGAAATTCACAGGGTTGCTATTAGGCGAATGGGACAACATCTTAACTAACACTTTTAAACATACTATAAGGGTACTAAATGTCGTTAGAATCATAAGGTAATTTTTAAATAAAAGCAAGAAAGGGGTAGTTTACCCATACAACCCTCTGGCACATGTGTGATACATCAATGTAAAGCTCTTTAAAAATGAATATCAGTTTATATACAGTTTGTCCCCGGATCTAGTTACAAAGAGGAAAAAAATTTTTATTACTGAATTTTCAAACTTATCTCAGCATAAATAATGCGTCGGATATGTTCAAAGCATTAAATCGCACGAATTTTATACTCTAACTATAGAAGTTAACTAATTATTCCCATTTTTATGTAAAAATTGGACCTTTTTTCTAAAGTTCAATTTATGATATGTAACCATAGAAACCATAAAAGTTACAACTTAATTATGTTAGTGAAAAATATACGGACAAATCAAATTAAAATATGGCAAAATAATTGAATAATAGTATATTATTCAACAAGTGTATAATGACGGCTGTTACCCACGAAGATGAACTTGCGTATAATGGATGTTACCCACTCAGATTACAACACTCGCTCGCTTCGCTCGCTCATGTTGCAACTTCATCTTCGTAGGTAACAGCCGCCATTATACGCTTCTTGAATAATATACTATTATCTACAACTATTGAATTATCTATTCGTTATACAATTGATTTTTAACGGGTAATGACACGTATTACTCATGACTGACATGAGGAGCGCATTAAATCACTTTCAGTTTAATCACATGACTGCACAAACATTTTCTCCCCCGAAAACTGCGAAAACCGCGTATAATTGCCGTATGCTAATGTCTACGGCGGCGGCGTCATAACTTTCTTATATGATACGAACAAAACTCCGAGACCATATAGAGCCTATAGAAAATTGTCTACTCTATATAATGATATATAACTTTAGTAGATCACATAATAGCACAAATATGTTGTCCTCTTTATTCCCTCCTCCTTTATTTAAGAATAAATTCGATCAAGAGACGTGTAATGTACACTTTAAAGGTATTCATAATCCCCTAATCCAATGACTGAAGTAATGATGTAGTGTTTGGTGGGAAAACAATACCTTAATGTTGGAATGCGCAGACATTAATTTACAACATTATCTACAATTAATAATGCTTTAAAACCTAAATCAACAATTTTTAAACCAATCTAAAAATGTTGATGCAGTAACCCATGCCTTACGATTCAATCTTTCAAACTTTTTTTGTACATAACCTCAAATATCTCAAATCCCGGCGTGATTACGAAATGACTTTCATTTTCAGCCCTTAACGCTGCTCGGTTTGAAAGAACATCCCGTTAAAGTCATCTATAACCACGATATGCCGCTTAGTACATCACCCATCTCTTCAAGTCCATTTTGAAAATTCACCGACTGCTCATTAAGTGGGCGATAGCTGCAAGGTGAGTCATAAAACTATCTGTAAATTTCATTATTCGATGTCAAGTTATCATACTGCGCATTTAGCATCGGTTAAAGGATCACAACCTGTCGGTGTGGGAATAGTTGCTGCGGATGGATCACATCCAGCATCAGCTATGTGGTCGCATACATTTTTGCTGGGATTGAAATGTAATCCAACTGGGCAAGGCGACGGTGCCGTAGTTATCCCATTAGCAATATCTTCCACAATCTTCTGGATAAGGGTGGAAAACTGAGAATTCACCAGTCTAGGGGCAGGTTACTGATACGCATATTCCACAGTCGAGAGTTTGAGTAGGTACTGTTGGTGTGACAGTGAGAGTAGGTGTTGGCGTTACGGGACCACCTTCACACTCTGCTGCTTTTAATTCGGGATTAAAGTGTAATCCTGGTTGGCAAGGCATATCGTGAATTTTGCTGTTATCGCAGTTACAATATCTTCCACACTCTTCAGGATGTGGATGGAAAACTGGGTATTGTCCAGGAATGCAGGGGCAAGTTACATTTGCCGCAATCAGGAACGGTAGTAGGATCACTTGTTGGTGCACCAGTGGAACCAGGTTCACATCGAACATCAATTGGCCAATCGCAAACATCTAGTTTGGGGTTGAAATGTGAACCCGATGGGCAAGGCATATCGTGAACTGCACCGTAGTTATCGCACGTACAATATCTGCCACAATTTGTAGGATGTGGGAAGAACTCTGAGAATAACCCGGGTGTGTACGGGCAAGTTACAGATAAGCATTCACCACAGTTCGGGGCAGGGGTAGTAGTGGATTCGGTGGGTGGAGAGGTTGTGGTTACGGTGGAGCATCTAGCATTGCTTGGTCAATTGCAAACATTTAATTCGGTGTTGAAATGTAAGCCGTCTGGGCAGGTGGTTTATTACTTTATATACCCAGACACAATAATAAAACTTGCTGCAATCCCGAATATCACGCAAAGTATCTACATAGGCATTAACAGTACTTGGACAAGCGCCGTCAGGTTCAGCGCCCATTTGAATAACACCCAATACTAATAGAACAGCTACTGTTGCTGTGACCAAAAATTGATTATTTAAAAAAATAATTCCTATTATTAAAATTGGTCACACCTTTCATTGTTGAAGTTGATTGTTAAACAAAATGTAAACTCTGATGTGACTGTAAAATCGGAACAACTTATATACCACAATTTTTTATCTCATAATTGGATCAATTATGTAATCGATATCCGGTTTTGAAATAATTAATAAGTACTTTTCAAATTTGCCGAAAAGATTAACATCTAAGAATGTTAGAAATTAACTGAAAACTGTATTTATTTTACTGACTACATATTAACTTAACCAAATTATAACATCTATTATAATTTTTAAATATTTAAATTTTGTTATACTCTTTTTAACCTTAATTTTAAATTATCTCCGTTTTATCAGTTTATTGATCAAACTTTTGAAGAGTACAAGTTATTTAATTAAAATCGGACGTAGGAAGCAATATAGAGGTGTCCTTAATAATTAGATTTCTGAACATATTTAGGTCGTCCCTTAATTTTTGTAGAAGAATAATAATTAAATATCAAAATTTAAAAAATCAATCAGGTGTAAATTTAAATTAATATGTTTTGAGGGATTATTACAATATTACATCAATTAATGACAAGAAAAAAAATTCATTAATTATTGAAACAGCCTGTATATTAAATAATCTTGATTTGTAGATCTTGTAGAATTGTAACAAATTCTCAAATTTACAAGTACAGAACATTAAAATGATAAAGCGCTTTGAAGGATTTTAATTTGATAACACTATTTCCTGCTGTTAACAATAAACCGGCTGAAGTGGTGTATAATAAGTTGCCCATATGTACACGTGCAAGTGATATATGTATATATTTCTATTTAGAGATATTTAGGGTTATGTACAAGAAAAATGGCTTTTTGGCTACTTTTGAAGTTATTGTGTTCTTCTCTGAAGGTGGCAGCTATGTTTATTGCGAGGGGTAAACCGCTGGGGAAGTAGGTGTACAAAATAGGGGAAGTTCGACGAATTACGGGGAAGTCTGGGGAATTATGAGGAGATGCGAGTAATTACGGGGAAGTACAAGGAATTACGGGGAATTATCGAGGAAGTTTGGGGCAGTACGGGGAATTATTGGGGAAGTACGGGAAATTATTTAGAGAAATTTGGGGATATATTGAAACACGATCGAACACGATTAAACACGATATCTAACGATCGAAGTTACGATGTTCCATAAACAAGCTAGATCTAGTATTAGGTGCGCAGTTTCTGTTTCATAAAGGGTGTGTGAATTGTTACTAGTAGAAGCATCGTTTTCATTCAAAGGTAAGATTGAATGAGTATCATATTAAAATTTAAATTTATATTAACATATCGTGAAGAGTCAATGATACTAAATTCGCTCGTAAATTCTGTTTTGTATTAGGCGCCAGGATGACGGCAAATCGCTATCGCTGTTTTCAAGAGGCCGAATATTTTCTACAATTTCAATTAAATGAAAATGTTAAGGAAATTCTTATTATTAGCGGATTTGATAATGAGGTGCTGCTTGGTACGATTGACGAAAATGATCTAGAAAAAATAGAAGCATTTATTAGAAATGACTACCATGAATTACTAACTTTGGAAGAAAAAAATTTGTTTTACGGGATTTTTAAAAATAATCCGCAGCAATTTAAATTGCTATCTGGCACGAAAAAACAAATAGTTTTAATTTCCAAATTTTATAAATCCAAATACGAGAGAAAAATATCGACTCAGTCTACGCAAACCGACATAACTGAAAACATTTCTGAGCAGACATTACCACCCCCCTCAGCACAACCATTAAGTGAGACTGCAGCTACAGATCAGGAAACAGAAAAGTGCGTTATATTAAAAGCTCTTAAGTGCTGGCTTAAAACAAAAGTTAGTCAGGAACAATGGTTAATATTTGAATCAAAATGTAATGGTATAAGCCTAAAAATTCAAAAAGGATTAGATGAACATTTTTCTTGCACTGTGACTTGCTTTTGTGGTCAAAGTTGAAAAATCCAAAAGGTGTCCAAAACAGACACTTGTCAACCAAGACGGCTATATGCTAATGTTCATAAACATTTTTTAAGTAAACATATTACTGCGCATACGAACGATCAAATTAATGCACCAGCTATTGTTGAAAGTAAACGCAGGGAAACATCAATTACTGATTATTTTACGTTGAACCCAAATCCGTGTTCTTCACGTGCAAGTTCTTCAGTTGAAAATAATTCACAAAAGATTATTATACTAGAAAATATTTCCGTAACACCTGTTGACCGTACTGACACATCTCATCATGAATGTCTGAAGAGTATTGAAAATATTTACTTTAATGAAACCGCCTCGGAAACCGATAAAGAAAATGTTTCCTCAGAAGTATCAATCGGCGTAACCGAGTGTGTAACTCCAACAAAGACCGAAATCTCGACTGACACCCTTACACGAGTTCCTACACGAAAAATTGTTACTCGTAATAATTTTCCCCAGACTAGCTCTTCAAAATGGAAATTAGAAAAGTACGGAAGAAGTGAAAGATCTAAACGCAAAAGAGACAATATTGACAATAATCAACTGTTTATAACAGAGTTTTTTCTTTACTAAACGACGCAACAAATGTTTTATCTGCTAATCCCGAAATAATTAATCAGATCGATGATACTCTTAAAATTAGAGGGGAAAGCGATTTCTCATTGAAAAATGCGAGAAAGAGTGTGACAGGGTTGCTAAAAATTCTTTGTGAAATTTCCCTAAAAAATACAAAACGTTCAAAATATAAACACACTTTTGACGACGTTATTAAAAAATTTAGTCTTTATTTATTTTACATTGGTGGTAGACTTTTGTATGAAGTCCTTTATACAAATTTAAAGGGCGCACTCCCAAGAATTTCGACCCTGAATAGATATGTTAACAATCAGAATAAGTATTTTGATGAAGGCAGTTTCGACTTTGCCAATCTTAAAGTTTTTCTGGACGAAAGGAATCTTGCCTCGATTGTTTGGATTGCTGAAGACGCCACCAGGATAACGGGAAAAGTTGAATACAATTCTAGAAACAATACAGTGATGGGATTTTCTCTGCCACTTAAAAATGGTTTGCCTGTAACAGATGCATATTTGGCGACTTCATCAAGAGTTATGCAGGAATATTTCCTAATAATAATGGCGCAACCGCTGTGTCAAAACGCACCAGCTTATTGTTTATCAGTATATGGCACTGACAACACATTTATATACAAAGACGTTCTTCAACGATGGAAATATTTAGAAAAGGAAGCTATTCGTTATGGAATAAAAATATTGGGTTACTCCTCTGATGGAGATACGCGGCTTCTACAGTCTATGCGTATAAGAGCAAAACTTCCTTTCAAACAAACGCAGGAACCTAATTGGCCGTGGTTTCAAATACCCATAGACAATGAATTTAACCCTGAAAACTGGCAATGTTTTACACAAGACGAGGTTCATATCGGAACTAAACTACGAAATCGCCTACTTAAAGCCAACATTTATTTGCCGATAGGAAATTTTACTATATCCGTAACGCATATTGAAGAACAAGTGAAGAATCAACCAAAAAACAAACATATTTTAACGATTTCCGATCTAAATCCAACAGACCGAATGAACTTCAAATCAGTGGAAAAAATTACATCCTTAGAAGTATTGGAATTGCTGAAGAACGTAGAAGATTCAGAAGGCACAATCTCGTATTTGAAAGTCATCAGTTACATATTAAACGCATTCTTAAATAAAAACATATAAAAGGGATGAAATTCTCCATATTTCTCAATAAAATATATAAAAAATAGAAAAAGTAAAAATTTTTTGTGAGAAATAATTAAATATTAAAATTTATTATTAAAGAGCAGACATGTTTCGAAACGATTGTTTCATCTTCAGTACTTTAAAATATATGCAAAATGATGGAAAAAATACAAAAATATAAAT